TAATTTCTTACCATCAATAGAATTTGCACGAGATTATTGATAAGTGGTGGGTATTCAAAATTTTTCAAACAAGCACCGTCAACTTTTACTTGTTCTTCAAAGATGTATATATATAACACATGTGTTCCAACGGCGTCATGATGAAACACTGAACCTTTTCTATTAATCAATTCCAGATACGTATTTGAAGAGCTTGTTGTCAGTTGATTATTTGGTGACAGTGAAGCTTAGAATGAGCAATTTGCTTCCAATCCTACCACACACTCAGTACTCCCCTTATTTGCTGCCAATTCAGGCTTTGAATATATTTGTCGGAACCTGGCAAAAAAGATTACTATAAAATATTATAACATACATATGTACATATGCGATTGACTTTTAAGATTTTAGATTTTTTGTCATAAAAAACATCTTGTGATAAAACATATCGTTTGATATTCAACAACCGCTGAAAATTATCAAAAACGGACAACCGTCATATGCTTTGAAAAAAAAATCCATCAAAGAAGCCTCTAGGAGTATCAAATTTGGTATTGCATATTCGAATCCACAAATAAATACTGCCACTAAAAACCATCTAAATAAAAAAACTATATCGTTTAACCCACCTTCAAAAGATTTGCTCAAATATTATTTAAGATTTTTGGTCAAAATTCCATCAAAGGAGCATCCGAGAAATTTGGTATTTTTAATATAAAACATAAATGGACCCATCACCTACCAGCTCGATCTTGCTCCACTGAACTTCATTAGCCTTTTGAGTGGCTGGAGCAAGCAAACAAATCCTGGCTACAACAGCATTCTCACCGAAAGGAACAATAAGCATTCGTATCGCTTTCACTTTTTTATAGGATAAGAGCAAAGCGTATTATTCTCAAAATTCATTTATTTTCAAATTAAATTAACTTTTCGATTTGCAGAACTATCTTCCGGAAAAGCATGGCTTCAAATTTCAGTTCTCAAACATGATTGAGTTTTCTATCTAGTGACAAAAACCACGGATACTCTTTAATTATCCAAGATAAATATGTATATGTGTAATATATTAACAATGTTGGAGGAGATAAGAATAATAGATATGAAGAAATTATTATGTGTATTTAAAGCACATCAAACTTCGATCCAAAAATATTCCATTTATGCAAATTTTAAAAACAAATATCTGAACAGAACCATAAGGCAGTTCCGTTCCCCTTCTCAGGGAGGAAAGTATAAGTTCTACTTATCTAAATAATAAGAAATCGTGCTATGTACGAGTATATGGAACCAAAACTACGATATTTCCAAATAGGTCAGTCCATGGACCACTTCAAAAAATCCTTCCAAAAATCAGAGAGATAAGCATAAAAACAAACGTCTTAAGTTCTTATAAGTTAACTTTATTATAAAATCTAGTATTCATCAATTGCATTCAAGTAATACCTGAGAACCTGAAAACAGAATAACAATTAACCACTTTAGTTTCTTCTTCACCGACTTTCGATCAAAGTATGATTCTCTGATCAATTCGCACAGTTTTATTTCATCCATAATTATTCACCAACTGTTAGGAGAGCTATTCGTAATAATAGCGAATTGAGAAGTTTGAATTTCCGAGATATCTCGAGAAAGTTTCACGCCTTGAAAAAAATGTCTTACAAAACTAATTAAGTACAGACCTCTTTATTTTAATTTGAATGATTTAAATTCTATTACAATTATAAACACGAATTCATATTTTTTGTATGATGAAATTAGGAAAGTGTGAAATCTGTTATTACGAAAGATTGAGAAAATCTTCAAGGAAATTTTGGATTTCTCTAAAGATGTCAAACGTCCAAGAGACTTTCTGCATCGTACATGAGTGGGAACCTTGGCGCAACTCATAAATTAGTATTGAAAATATCTAAGAGTTGTCATTTTCATAAATCGTTTTATTAAAATGTTGTTATTTATACTGAGTAAGGAGTAAACACATTTAATATCAAAAGACTACCCACGCAAATTGTAACACATCTATTTTTATATCTAAGAATAGAAATTCTCATTATACTCGTACATAATGACACAACGCAAACCCCACAAGTTTACAGGGTGTATGTAGAATAGAATCCATTCATCAACTTATCTTCTTTTCTATATTTAACAAAAACAATCAAGACATAAAGCAATCAATTCGATCTCAACTTTTTTCAATTATATTTTTTTCAAAGCTAATGGCTAAGTTGAGCATATGGCCCTCCGCATGGTAGTGCGCACTACTGCGTCCACCAGAAGTAATAATGTGCTAAATTTGTGAGAGCGAAAATTTATTTTTCCAAAAATTAATTTTTTTCTCGAGATACCAAACGTTGTAAAAGGAAGTGAGATGCATTTGCTGAGAGAAAATGAGAGAGAGTTTGAAGTGCGTGAAAATCAGACAAAGTTTGTATTTTTTTCGACTTTGACTATTAAATTTGTTTATGATTTAAGATTTTAAAAGGGCAAAAAAATAGTTGAAGTTCAAAATGACGGCTACATAGTAGCGCTCTCCGTCGGCCTCTGCGCGAAATGCACGGCTCAACAACTTCAAGCCTACAGCCTTTTGTAGTGAACTGAAATCAAAAAGCCTTGTCATTAATTGAAGATCATGAAATTTTACAGGTCCCGAATCTCAATTGAAACAATTTAAATTATAAATTTCTTGCATTATGCTCACTGCAAAGAAAAAGTAAAATTTTTTGATACTTTTTTCACTTCAATTACCCCAGAGAAGCTACCATTTGAAAATTATTCATCGTATTGCAAAATCCCTTTAGACACATACTCTACAATTATATGGCTTTAATTTTTTGCCTTAAAAATATAGATTTTTTATCTAAAATCAGGGTAGGGTCCCCTTAAAATGTGATCTCTTTAGCTTATTTACTGGAGAAACCAATACTAGCTGCTACTGAAGCTAAAAAAAAGCTACAATCTTCCATCAAATTGCATAACTAATCGCTGGAGTGCATTAGCGGCCTCAAGAACCGTTTGTTCTGGTACGATAAATTACACCAGATTATAGAATCTATAACGCCACCAACGATAGCCTTGAAATCGAAGCATTCTTGAAAATTGGTGCTACTTTGGATTGAGTAGACATTGGAAATATGAAGTGAAGACGAATAAAGATTAAACTCTACAAGTCGGTCATAATTTTTTCAATCCTATTATGGAGACTGGGATGAGGAAAACATCTGATGAGTCATTCAGCTTCGGGAGCTCTTTGCTTTCGCAGTTTTCTAATAAATTAATAATTCTATAGGAAGTTATAATATATGACAGTCTTTATAACTACTTTCAGAACGGAGAGTCCAGTCTCTTTAATGTAAAATTGGGAATCCTTTTGAAGTAAAAGATAAATGGGCTTGAGTTGCTGTGTCAACCGAATTTTTTGAGTTTGAAGACACAAATATTTATGATGTATATGCTGTAAAGATCTTCCTGAAATATGCAATTCTGTCCACAACACCGAATTGAATTTCTTGGATACTCTCAAGTACTTCTTCTATGTTGTCTTTTGAGGACCGTTTGACTTCACCAAATGTTAATGTCTCCCGAAACTCTTGAGTTCACAGTTGATGAAGTTTAAACACTATTTGGTCCTTAGCTTGTTGAAACTATGACACTGCGGCATCTAAGCTTTCATTATTTTTTAAAAATTGTTCAATAATAAAAGCACCTTTGTTCGAACGTGTAACACTCCATTTTTACTAGGTCTTACACGGTGAGCTGTCCATTTGATTTTAGTACGGTTGTGAAAATATATTAATTAAAATATGTCAAATTTAAATCTTGCATTAATTTTGAATCATTCGGTATATGCTTGACTTTAATAAAATAATTACTCGGCATCGGTGCCGCCTACCGGGATTAACTTTAGAAACATCAGGTCAAGGGAGTTCTATGTGCCGTATAAATGGGAATTTTATTTCCTTAAAAATCGGTTTTACGCTTTTTAGGAATCAGTGTAGCCTATAATTATATTACACTAAACTCAAGGTTATATACGCTTCCTTATATGCCTTTATGTATATATATATATATATATATATATATATTGACATAGATATTGTATGTACACAGCCTAGAAAAATATGGTATATTTTAAAGGCCACTAGGAGTCCTACAAAATATTGAATTAAACAAAAATTAAAGGAATTTTTTTTTTGATTTTTCCGTCAGATCCTGGTACATGCAAAGGTAGAATCAACAACCACAACTACAACAAGTACTTGAATAATTATTGTCACTGTTCGTTATTATTATTTTCATACTTTTAATTCATGTTTTTTTTTATTGTTGCTATCGTTCTTGTTGCACACAGGAGACCTTTATACGATTTGTTTATATCCTAAATTGACTTGAGTTGCTTTCATCTAGTACTTCTGCCTGAGTTGGATTGGGTGTTGAGTGAGCGATTGTCATTTTTGATTATGTCTAAATAAACATTCGGCATACAGTTTTACACACACTCGCATACAATTGACTATGCATTTATGCGCATATGTGTGTATACACAAATACTTGTTTATTCTCGTTTATTCGATTTACCATATTGTAGGTAAGGATGGCTCATGACGGCAGATTTCAGATACAAAAAGCCAGCAACATAGCCATTTGCCTTTTCAAGCACAAATTCATAACGTAAATAAACAACTATTGGTAGAATGTTTTTTTTAGACTTGCTACAAACTTTAATGTGTCTACATACGTACATAAATACGTATGTATAGATATTTATGTACGTATGTATATAAAAATATTGGATTTGCTTAAGCAAAACTACTTTGTTATGCGTACGAAAAGCATTTGAATTTTATATTTCGCCAGCGTTTCACCACAGTTTTAGCAGCATTTAATGCAGCACATAAATTTTCATTTCACTTCACATGTTCCATCAATAAATTCTAAGGCAGCCATAGAGCTGTCTGCTGTAGTACATTTTCGTCTTTTCATAAAAAAAAAAAAAATATTTTACTACAGGCATACAAACATACAATATGTTTTTCATATGTTACCGTGTATGAGTTTGTTAGATTCTTTTATTCATCCACACTTTATTAAAATTTATTTACGCAGATTTTTTTATATTTTTTTTTCAAAGATTTTATCGCTTAGCTTATTTTTATGTTTTCCACTTTATATTCACCATTTGACAATATTCACTTCCTCTTATATACACTTTTTGTAAATGTTTGTTACAACCACACGCATATATTTGTAGATACATTTTATATACGCATTTAAGATTTTTTACGGTTTCATTTCATCCGCATTATTTAGGACTAGGCATGTGCATACATATATATATTTGTCGATTTTGGTTTCTAATCTGTGCATAAACTTTTCGTTTTGATTTTCATTTAATCTTCACTAATTTTCAAATCCACTGTTTGCCGTTTAATTACCAAGAAACGTTTGTTCCGTGTCTCTGCCAAAAGTCAACTAATTGCATATTTTTGTCATGAGAGCGCCCCTAGTCTTCTATATCTCAGAGTATTTTTGTTGGTCGTTGTACTATTTGAGGATCATCATTTCGCATCTACACATACTCACTGCTGCATATACATATACATACGAGTATATACATATACACAAATAAATTTTCACAACAGAGCGATCAACAACTCAGCACTTTTCTCTGGCATTCAGCAACAGTGAAAGCATATATTGTTTCTGTTGAGTAGCGAAATATCTCTCCTTCCAATTTCGTATTTATTCATTCAGCTGAGTGTTGTTTCGACTTGCTGGCGACAATTTGTTCCCAGGAAGCGAGAATTGGTTAAACAAATAATAGATTTGTTAGTTATTTTTTGTTAGAGCGTGTAGATCGAGCAATACCACTTTCAGAGGTAAACAATATTGCTATTTTCACCAAACTCTCTCACGGTGCTATTTTGTCTAAAGCTGAATGCTTCATACAGCAAGTTTAGGGAACAAAGTAGACCGATAGAGCTCATACATATTTCTAAGGCTTGACAGCATTTGTGACTCCATCACAAAATACGTTAATATTGCCAGGATTATCTCAACTCAGAATGTTAATGGACAGAGAGACATTAACGCCTTCGAACGAAAATTCTATATGATCAACATGAGTAATAGTGGATGGGCTTGGTAGCCGAGTTTAGCATTGCGTATTACTCCATTTGGAAGGCGATGGTTCAAATACTGTTACGGCCCACATCCAAAGATGCGGTCGCCCCTAGTCAGGGAATGTTAACCCCTCTGAGTATTTTTCTGACATGGAATAAGGCTCCTCATAAAAACCATCAGCTGGTCGGTGGCGGCTTAGTATAAACTGTAGGTCTCTCTCTTTGTGGGGAAATATCAAAACGAGCACAACAATTGCGGGAAGATGTCGGACGAAAATCACATCAGCTTTTTTGGATATGAATACTTATTTCATTGAAAAGATTTGACATCTGTCGATAAAAATAATAGTGCTTCAGCGATTCTTTCTGCCAACAGTATTATTTTCTTTGCCTCTTCGAAAACTTCCGGATTTGTGTTAAATAAACAGCAGATGCATTAAGTTCTTATTTCCTATTTTAATTTACAAAAAACTGCTTCCTCGACCGATATATCATGTACAGAGTATTTTCGGCAATTCAAAAATGATGATTTTAGCTTCGAAGACCAAGAGCGTCCTTGCCAATCCAAATAATTTGAAGATGCTAATGCGTTTCAGCCGTGCCTTGCGTAGAAAAGAGCTAGAAATAACCTAGGGCATACCAAGGTGATTTTGCAACATGAGAAAGCCTGAACCCAAGTAACTATGACAGTCAAAAAGGTACCAGACATTCTGTGCTTAGGCCTCAATCTCAAATGCCTAAGGCAAGGAATCTGATGGTTAACTCAAAAGTAGTTTGCCCAAGTTTACCACCAAACACTGCTTGTGGGAACAGCTTTTGGCGGTTTGGGTTTTTTTATTTGCTTCATCGTCAATCAATCCCTTTTAAGTATTTGAGCGATAACGACGATCGTCTGCATTATCTTTATCTGGCACATAGCCACCACACCACACAGATAACAATTGTGTACATTATGTTAATATTCAATGGAAATTGAACTATAAATAAATCATCTCCTCTTCTTTCCATTTTTTTTCTACAAAAAAATTCTTGGTGTTTCCATCAGCGTTTTATATGCTGAAAAAGGGGGTCTTATCCCATTCCAGCTCAAACACTGCTTCAAAACGACTGCTTCAAAAAAGTTTTGCGCCCTACACGGGTTGGGTATTTTAAAGGGATAGGGATTGGATCGCGGAGAGAGGGGAATAATTTTTTGGAAATTGGAAATGATATTCGAAAATTTCTAAGTGAAATGAGAAAAGTAGCTTTCGACGGACAATGCTTTGAATGCTTTGAATTAAAAATTTTTAAAACCAGAAAATGGACCGAAATAATTTGTATTGAATTTCGAGTTTAGGATGAATACTAATTTACATTAGCAGACATCCTCTCACAGTTCAAAGAAATCCTAATTTGGATATATTTCTCAGCGACGGCTGCACTTAAACTTCACTTGCGTTAAAGGCAATTCTTCTGTATCTCCATTAAGAGTTCTATGTGATTTTATATCCATCTGTAAGCTACAAGCGATGCGCATAGCTTAGGAACCCGACAGGTGTCATTCCTATGTCAAGTTGCGGCAGCTTATCCAGAGTAAGGAACGTTTTCAGTAAAAGGGGTTTGGGATCCATTGCACTTTAGCTAGTTTCAAAAGTAGTTTTTGGACAATGTCTTGTTTAGTAAGGAACTCTATGGAAACCCGCTGTTCGCTTCACTGCAGCACTTTTCTGTTGAAGTGTTTACCAAGCCAATTTGGTAAGGCGTATTGCCTATATTTGACTAATAAACCAGAGACGAGTTCTAAACAAACGTTACTATATCTGCTTCGTCACGCTAACTATTTTTGTTGTATTTTTAGCAGTAAGAAGAAGCAACATATAACAGTATTTTTTATTTAAATGTAAATCCCGGTGTTGAAATGTTTGTCCTTGCAACATATTTACCCGAAATTGTGTGGCCACATTACCAGAATCATTAATTAATTAAATAGTTTACTCAGTTGAAAAAGTTTCCAGCATACCATACCACATTTCTCCTCTTTACGTTTGTCCTACAATTTTAATTCCTTTTCATACGTTTTTTATTCAATGCTTCTTCTGCTGCCACACCACTTTTAATTCGTATTCTTCAGCACATAATAACAACGGACAGCCCTCTGATTCAGTAGCGCGACAATCAAATGACACCTAACAGGAAATTGAAAAGAAATAAAACAATAGCGGAAAGAAATAACATTAAAAGCAATAAACTTCGGATAAGTATGCTGAGCGTAAAGAATGTGAACACAAATACTTGGAGACAAGATAAAAAAGGAAAACAGAAGAAAAATTAACAGTGTGCAGTCTACAGGCAGGATTCGCAGACTCGCAGATCCTACGATAAGATTTTGCTGATATTGAATGCGTGCAAGTGAGAGAAAAGAAATAATGAAGCATTATTATTCTGTACGGAGGTGGCGGGGTGTAAAGTTTACGCTACGCAGTAGAACAATTTTGCTGACAGTATTAATTTATTTTGCAAACTTTTGGTGGCCGCAAAACGACTGTGGTTGGAGTAGCAAAATGAGATCAATAGTAGCAGCATGTTCAAAGAAGTCGAAAATTTCGAAGATCTCTTGGAATTTGTGGTTGAGCATTAAATTTAGCTAAAAGCAAAGAAGTTAAAGTATTGAACATTTAAACTGCGGGCCGAACTTGTACTACGACAACGACGGTTGATTTCATGCAAAATTTTGCTCTGAAAACCTACAAAGAGCCAAGATTTGGATTAATAATTTCTAATTGTTTTATAATTAGTATTCAGAAAAAATTGCAACATCTAAATACGAAAAGCTTTAAAATCAAAGCTATGAAAAAAGCTCGAACACAATTTAGATACTTTAGATACTCAATTTAGTTGAGCTCAACTCAGAAATGGAGCAAATTCTAATTATTAGAAGAATATCTTATCTGGCCATTTACGCGTTTTTCACCTAAGAGGCTTCATCTTTATTTCTCGATTGAAAACTTTATTTGCCTACTCAAGCTTATAGTCCTAGCAGAGTTCAACATTTTCGAGCAGCTCCAGTTTAGTATTTTTTGAGGATTTCCATGGTGAATATCTCCTTTATTGCGTCTCCATAGCTAGGTACCGTTTATTTCATAGACCAATACTTTGAACTGTCATTCGGAGGGCTCAGGTTTAAAACCTGGTGTTATACTAACATCCAAAAAATTTAAATAAAAAATTAATTGCGGTCGCCTCTCGGCAGTGCATGTCAACTTCTCCGAGTGTATTCCTGACATGAATAAAGCTCTACTTTTCCCCATGCAATTTTATAGCAGCTAATGAACAAATCTGGAGCTGTTTAGTGTAAGAGGCAAGTGTAACCGCGACCTTCCGTAATCGGTTTCGGGTTCAGGGCAGTCCAGACTGTTACTGGTTTTCAGTTGGATTTTTCCATTTCCCTCAGACGCGCCCCTCGGTCGGTTCGGTGGGCAGGAGGTGGGTAACGCTGGGTTCGTGGTTAAAAAAAACCATCAGCCGTTCGGCAGCAGCTTAGTATAGGTCCCTTCATTTGTTGGAAAACATCAACACGCAAAACCAAAAGCCGAGCCGCAGATTGTATATTTTTCTTAGGTGTGGCCGCGCTGATCTTTTTACAAAGTTCTGTGATTTTTATAAATCATTCTTTGTAGAAAGAACGGGAATGTGACTCTATTGATAGTTGGAAAAGATTTACAAAAGGGTAATAATCCGTCATATTCAGTTAGCACGTATTCCGATTTCTAATCGTGGTCTCTTTTCCTACTGGATGAAAAAATTTAATTATATTTAATACAATTGTTTAGTAGTTTACAATTATACATACTCATTTTAATGACAACTAGTCGTCTTCCCATCTACAGCTCGCTCTCCTGGACGTGATGCTGCACAGTTAAGAGTTCAATGCTTTAAGCGCAGATGCAATAAAATTGAGCAGCTATAAAGCTAGTGTACTTTAAAGAAAAGTACTCATTTAAATTGCTTCCCCCTAATGCTAATGAAAATTGAGCTGCTGTGATTGCATTTTACCTTTTCCCTTTTAGTCTGCAATCTAAGCTAGAACTCGTCTTGGCATATATAATGAACTAACTAAGCAGAAAAAGACAGAGACAGAGAAGTGTCTAGGGAGTTTAGAAAAGGAAAAATCGTATGCAACAACAATGAGTAATGCACACAAGCTTGTAATCGTCTACTTAGTTAGCGTTGATGGGTAATTTAACTTAATAATTGTTGCAGCTGTGTCGCTGTATGGTGGTGGGCAGTGCAGCTTGAATAATGTTACTAAATTTATTTTACTTATTTTCATATCACCTCTTTGGATTTT